GTGACAGAAACATGGTCCGAACTGATTAGCGCTTATACACTGCAGGTGCGAGAGAGAGAGGAGCGGCGCTCTCACAGGCTTCCTGCTTCACAAACCAAACATAAAAGGGCCATTCAGAGAGTTTTGAGCGTCGTTCCAAGAGGTCGTTCAAAGGGGTCGTCGAAGTGGGTTGAAGCTGGTGGTCTCAGAGCAGTGTTGGACACAAGCTTCCTCGGGAAAATTGTCTGGGTGTGGAAGCCGCCCATTGAAGTTTGCTGGATCAGAGTGATCGTCTGTGGGAAATCTACTGGACTGAGTTATCGATTGAACCTGCACTGTGAAGAGAGGGAGAAAGATAAGTGAATTGATTTCATCTTACGAAAATTCAAACAGCTTGAAGAGGATGCAGTGAGTGTGGATCTGACTGTTGGAGAAGCTATGTGTTTCAGAGTGTGTTGAGCTGGAACGGAAGATTTAATATCCCCCACGTGAGTGTAACAAACGGATTGAGGCCTCTGAACAGCCTTAACGTGTGAGTGAATTGCAGTGCTTGATACACATTAGCTGTGTCCCAATGTAAAGGCTGCATCTTCCGAAGGCCGCGGACTTCAAAGGATGCAGCCTATTCGTCCTTCGAAGACCTTGTAGCCTTCATAGGATTTCCTAATTGCGCATCCAGGTGTTCCCGATTACCGCTCCATGGCGCCAAGCAACAGTGCGAGATGGAGCTGCCGTCCTGATCATTAATTTGTTATAATGGAGTAAACAGCTATGGAGCCAGAATTGGCTATTGTCATTTTTATGTTTTATATTTTACTGAGGATGTTAAATACATGAATTTTCTAAACGACATTTAGGCCACTTGTCTTTAAAGTCAATTTTTTAGGAGGAAAAAAGCTCAGTATAAGCAAAAAAAGACTTCACATATAAAAAGGAAATATGACACAAACACAAGGTTAGGTTATATAAAAATAAAACATTAATAAATTATTTTATGATTAACATATTACTGTCTTCAGTGAACTCAACGCAAATGATAATAATATTATTATTATTAGCCTACATTTAGGCTACATATTTAGAAGGCGGTTTTATCCAAAAAAAGGAACAAAGAAATTCGTCAAATGTCAGTCATAATACAGGGCTAAGATTATCACAAATAAACACAAGATTTTGACGCAAATGTGTGTGGGAGTGTGAGTGCGCACTGCATGGCACGGAGGCGCGGCCGCGAACACTTGCATTTTCCCATCAACAGTGGAAACAACTTAAAAAATACTCTATAATTTCTGGTCATACAGAAAAGAATAATACATCATTCGCAACTACTTTTATTTGTCCAAACTCACATAACGAGAAAACGTTGTGCTTTTGTAAAATAAAATAAAACAATCAGTCGCGCTTTCATGATCTCCGTGAACTGGAGCGCGTCTCATAAATGAACTGATACAAAATATACCTAGCCTAAAGCTTGAAATGTTCACTTTTAAACGAACAATTAAAATGCCTCGTTATTTATTCAGACACATTTATTATCATTAGCCTTTAAATCATGGTTCCAGAGACATGGCTCTTCTCATTCAGCATTGTGGGGAAAATATAATTTCCAGGGTCTAATCTGGCCTTAGAAAACCAGTAAATATTTTTGAATATTTTAAATGTTTAATAAAGGGGCAAAAAGGCTTCTTTTTTTTCCTCTTTTTTTTTCTTTGCAGCATTTGTGTAGCCTACAGTTCAAATTTTGGTGTTCAACTTTGGCTTTTAAAAATACAACAACCTTTCATTTTTAGTTTTTCCAATTACGGGTTAAAAAAAAGAAAAACAAATGGACGCAAAAGTAGGCTACCTTATATTATTAAATATTTAAAATAATGTATTTGTAGAAAGGTTTGATAGTCAATCAAAATACTAGTAAAATCAAATACTTTAATCTAAAAAACTATCACTAAACTATCTTTAGTTTAATAGTCTGTGTAAATTTGCATCCATTCGTTTTTAATTTTTTAACCCGTAATTGAAAAACGAAAAATGAACGGTTTTAAAAGGCATAGTTGAACACCAACATTTGAATTTGAACTGTAGGCTACACACCAAATGCTGCACCAAAAATGCTGTCGTCACCGGCGCGCAATGAATTTGGGGTAGGATCAGGGTAGGATAGGCACGGGAAACGAAGGGTGCATTTGGCGTCGCTTTTGAATCAGGGTAGCCTTCGTCGCGCCGCGATGACGCAACCGGTCTTCGAATACGGCCTTCGAAGGATGCGGAATTGAATTGGGACAGCCTTCATCGTGCCGCGGTGACGCAATCGGCCTTCAAATGCGTCCTTCGAAGATGCAGCCTTTGAATTGGGACAGCCTTCGTCGCGCCGCTGTGACGCAATCGGCCTTCAAATGCGGCCTTCGGAGGACGCAGCCTTCGCATTGGGACACAGCTATTGATTCATGGCTGTGGAATTGAAGTGAACACGAGTGTGGTGTGCTTTTGCTGTGAAGTGGCCCCAACCCATGCTTACACGTTTGTGGAAAGTTGTTACTATATCTGCTCTCCATCAGAAGCCTAGAGTGCTACAGCTGAGCTGAAAAGCAGCCTGTACTGAGAAGATCCTTACCTGTTCTCCTTATTGTCTGAGTCTGGAAGTATGCAGCATCACTGGTGAAGTAAGCTTTTAAACCACTGTCTCATTACTGTGCACCGACGAAAATACTTTGTATTGTGAAGAATCCTTACCTGTTCCACTTACTGTCTGAGTCTGGAAGCATGCAGCATCGTTGGTGAAGTTCGCTCTTAAACCATCGTGTCATTACTGTGCACCGACGATAAGTATCTTATACAGAGAAGAATCCTGCCCTTCCTACTTACCGTCTGGGTCTGGAAGTGTGCCGCATCTCTGATGGAGTAAGCTGATAAACCACTGTTTCACTATTGTGCACTGACGAACGTACTCTGTACTGAGAAGAATTCTTACCTCCTTACTTACTGTCTGAGCCTAGAAGTATGCAGGATCGCTGGTGAACGGAGTCCCGAAATTGCCGTCCGAGAGGCACTGTGACGCTCGATCCACGTCTGTCCGTAGCTGAAGGATATCTAGAGGACATTGAAGTCTATCCAATTGGCGCTCATTGCTATATTGTTCAACAAAGATTGTTACTCCTTTGAAACTACCTCTGTTTCTGTGTCCCTCTGTTGCGTGCCCGTGGTGTCGGCTCCTCACGGTGGTGTTTAAGTCAGGGGCGGCTGGTCATCCGGGCCCGCACCGGTGACAATAGTGTGAAAGAAAAGTAAGCTGTTACACTGAGATGGTTTGGGAAAACCATAAAGTGTTTTTGTACAGTCAATTCATTGTGTACAGGAAGCATTAAACCATCAAAGTTAAATGATTGTTTATTGCTTATGAATTTCCAATATTTTCTTTAGCAGGGGGTTTCAAACTTTTTAATGGCAAGGAGCCCTAAACAATACCCTTTTGAGATTCTTTATTTAGGCTTATAATCTAATAAAATATAGGCATAATATAATATTTAAAAAAAAACAATTTAAAGTATTTGAAGTGATATAATATATCAGTTTAATGCTTCAATTTGTTTACATATATTATTATAATATGAAAACAAGCTGAAGCATTTAAATAGATCTAATAGCTCAATATTTTCAAGAAAAGTGAATGTGAACTCTTTTATAATCTAACCATCCCTGAAAAACATTTATTTAAACTAATGATGTATTTTGAATTTGCACGCGGGTGGGTGTGTAATTGATACCGTTCTGTGTCCATCAACCGTTATTTCCACCACTTTAATCAAACCACTCTTCTCTTTGCGTTTCTCGTTGCCTCTCGTATTGAGCTATTTGGTCCGCACACACGACTCACTGCCAATCACACGTGCTCACATCATTCTCTTTCTATGAAACATGTAAACTGCATTCACCAGTTTTCACTCCATAGCGGTTGACCAGAGCACTGGTAGTGGTATCAAGTCATCCCTATTAAAGGAGAACTATGGCGCAAAATGAACCTTTGGTCTAATTACACATTGTTACCTAGTCAACCGTTCTCTGAGATTTGTTTTCATGATTATCGAATGTAAATAGTTTTATCTCTAAAAACAGTTTAGCCTATAAAGCTAGTATATTGGGCATAGTGTAATGACAAATAAAAATCGCTTGTTAATACCACTAACAAGGCTCAAAATAGACCCACACTAACACGGTAGCATAATGAGGGTCCCTACCTTCAAACCGAAGCATTGAGAACTTTGTCAGTGTCCAGACAGTTTAATAAGAAGATATTTTAAACATACAGTCAACTTCGCGAATACAGGCAGGAGCCATCTTTGAAACACAGCCTTTACCAGTCGATCTACGAACGCCGATCCAAGTGCGCTGGTGAGATGTGAACGAGCTATAAGTTGTGATAAGGTGAGCGCGAACAGCAGGCTTGGATCGGCGTTCATAGATCGACTGGTAAAGGCTGTATTTCAAAGATGGCTCCTGCCTGTATTCGCGAAGTTGACTGTATGTTTAAAATATCTTCTTATTAAACTGTCTGGACACTGACAAAGTTCTCAATGCTTCGGTTTGAAGGTAGGGACCCTCATTATGCTACCGTGTTAGTGTGGGGCTATTTTCAGCCTTGTTAGTGGTATTAACAAGCGATTTTTATTTGTCATTACACTATGCCCAATATACTAGCATTATACTAGCTTTATAGGCTAAACTGTATTTAGAGATAAAACTATTTACATTCGATAATCATGAAAACAAATCTCAGATAACGGTTGACTAGGTAACAATGTGTAATTAGACCAAAGGTTCATTTTGCGCCGGAGTTCTCCTTTAATTAGGCCATGTAAGGGCATTAAAGTCATCATGAAATTGAAAATAATGAAATCTCGTACTGACCCACTTCCCGTTCCCATTGCACTGATTACTAAACTAAAGAGCTGATTGAGACGCATCCAGTGATTTAGTTTGGATTTTAATTTCTTTCTGTTGATTATTCTCATCTTAAACAGGACAGTGTCCAAACACACAGAAAAACTCCTGGTGAAACGACTGAGATCCATGTGACACTATTATAAAGATGGCATTTATTAAAGAGGAGAGTGAAGACATGAAGATTGAAGAAGTATTCACCATGAAACAAGAAGATACTGAGGAACAAACAGGTGGGTTTCATACTCAAAACTGAACTCAGTAATTTCTTATCAAATCAGTAAGCCCTTCCTGACTAGAGGTCGACCGATATGGGTTTTTCTCTGGGTGATATATGATGCCGATTTATTTTTGCCGATATGTTTGGCCGATTTCCTTTTTTTATCTCATAAAATCTAAAAGTTGAGTAATAAGAAGTGATACAAGTGATTTATTGAACAACAAAATTGTTCAATAAATCACTTCTAAACACCAACGGACAAATTTGTGCACTTAGGCCGTCGGTCCTCTTATCAGCATGAAAATCTATATTCAATGGATAACACAGGCTGAAGCCTCATAAGCGAGCCAGGACCGCTCACTTTACAATCACTAAAACGCTGTCGCTTTGTCAGTTCATCGCGATCTCACAAAGTTTCGTTATGATCATTGAAGCTGGCAACAATGCAATAAATCTCTTACTTGCTTTGTTTGGTATACAACTCAGGCTACTAGGGGTGTGACGAGACGCTTATCTCACGAGACGAGACGAGACACGAGATTGGGTTCACGAGAACGAGACGACATTTTTGCACAATTTTTCAGATATCCTCAATGACAAAATTCATGACTGGAAAAATAGTATGCAGGTGCATTTTTCAATGTTTTAACTAATAATCTTCTAATGCATGTCATTTCAGGTCTACTTTATGAGTATGAATTATCAAATGCATTGAAAGAAAACAATATTCAAGCACTGTAAAAGGTTTTTATTGACTGGCTTTTCTCCTGTATGATTTCACATGAGTCTCTTCAGACCTTACTGTACATGTAAGAGCTTTCAGAACTTCTGATTGAGGCTGTGTGTGACCTCCTAACTGAACTCCTTTACATACATTGAACAGAGAAATAAAAACAGTATAAATAACAAAAATAAATAACAGTTTTCTCTTAGTCTTATTAAGTGCAAACAATAAGTGCAACCATAATCAAAGTTAGCACACAGACTCCTTATAATTGTTGTGAAATTGCTGTTTTATTTTGCACCGGCAGATATAGGGTTAATGCGGTGAGTTCAGAAAAGGCCGGGTAGAGAGAAACGAGGCTGGTGTGTTTGTCTCTACAGCGTTCCGATTATAAGTTCAGAAACGGAGCCTCCCTTGTCTGTTGTCCTTTATACGTTACAGTCATAGACAGTACAGTGCTCTCCCAATATTCGCAGTGCAAACAGAGACCATAGCCGCAAATAAACAGTCCAGAGATGGATATTGGGAGACGGACTATTGTATGTATGCAGCCTAATTTGTGCGCAATGCACATCAGGGAGCTTGTGTTTTACTTACAAATTCGTGACCGCGCGTATAGGGAGCAGCGGTGCTGAGCGCGCATATTCTAGAAGATAAGACATTATCAGACGTTTAGTCTGTTGCGCAACGAATCCTCCGCTCCGCCATCGTCACGCGATCAGTGAACTGTGATTCGTGCTGCACTGATTGCAACAGCAACTCGTGCTGGATGAGCAGAGCAGACTTTCACATTAGTTTATAATGGTTTTTATTTTTTTTTATAAAAACAACAAAACGATAGTTTAGGCGAATGTGAGTGTAGCGGTGAAATATTCATGGCGATATTGCGAGACAGCTTTTTCACTCGATGAGAAATCTCGTCATATTTAGTCTCGCGAGATCTCGTGGCACGAGATCTCGTCACACCCCTACAGGCTACTATAATAATTTAGCCGCTGGGCTCGTTGGGCTGGACCCGAGGCAGCGTCACGTGTTCCACAACAATGCTTAGCTGCTCGCAGATGCGCCTGCCTATTACAGTTTTTTTCAATCGCTAACAAGCGCTTACCCATTAAATATATACTAACTTTTCTTTTTAAAATAGAACACATCTTTCTCTGCACACACTAACTACCAAAACACTGGAAATCTGACTCAAAATGAAATTATTCTGTCAAAGAATAATACTTGTTTTCACTTCACAAGGTACATGCAGTCAATCAAAGTACACCAGGTTTCAAAATACTGGCTATTGTTGACATTACAAAAACTGCATAGACTTTTATGTTTCAGTTTTACAGGTATTTGCATGCAAAACTTGCAATCCACCGTTTTTACACTCAATTTCTTTGTTGGGAACTGTATGTCCACATGTACAGTAATGTTCACATTCAAAAGCATTCCAGTAAAAAGCAAGTCAGTTTTTTTTCACCTCTCACTGCATCTCTCACTGCTCCTGCATCGCTCACTGCACCTTTCACTGCTCCTGCATCTCTCACTGCTCCTGCATCTCTCACTGCATCTCTCACTGCTCCTGCATCTCTCACTGCATATCTCACTGCTCCTGCATCTCTCACTGCTCCTGCACCTCTCACTGCTCCTGCACCTCTCACTGCATCTCTCACTGCACCTGCACCTCTCACTGCTCCTGCACCTCTCACTGCTCCTGCACCTCTCACTGCATCTCTCACTGCATCTCTCACTGCACCTCTCACTGCATCTCTCACTGCATCTCTCACTGCTCCTGCATCTCTCACTGCACCTCTCACTGCTCCTGCATCTCTCACTGCTCCTGCACCTCTCACTGCTCCTGCACCTCTCACTGCATCTCTCACTGCACCTGCACCTCTCACTGCTCCTGCACCTCTCACTGCTCCTGCACCTCTCACTGCATCTCTCACTGCATCTCTCACTGCACCTCTCACTGCATCTCTCACTGCATCTCTCACTGCTCCTGCATCTCTCACTGCATCTCTCACTGCTCCTGCATCTCTCACTGCATCTCTCACTGCACCTGCATCTCTCACTGCACCTCTCACTGCATCTCTCACTGCTCCTGCACCTCTCACTGCATCTCTCACTGCACCTGCATCTCTCACTGCACCTCTCACTGCATCTCTCACTGCTCCTGCACCTCTCACTGCTCCTGCATCTCTCACTGCATCTCTCACTGCTCCTGCATCTCTCACTGCTCCTGCATCTCTCACTGCTCCTGCATCTCTCACTGCATCTCTCACTGCACCTGCATCTCTCACTGCACCTCTCACTGCATCTCTCACTGCATCTCTCACTGCACCTCTCACTGCATCTCTCACTGCACCTCTCACTGCTCCTGCATCTCTCACTGCACCTCTCACTGCACCTCTCACTGCACCTCTCACTGCATCTCTCACTGCACCTCTCACTGCTCCTGCACCTCTCACTGCTCCTGCATCTCTCACTGCATCTCTCACTGCACCTGCATCTCTCACTGCACCTCTCACTGCATCTCTCACTGCACCTCTCACTGCATCTCTCACTGCACCTCTCACTGCTCCTGCATCTCTCACTGCACCTCTCACTGCACCTCTCACTGCATCTCTCACTGCACCTCTCACTGCTCCTGCACCTCTCACTGCACCTCTCACTGCTCCTGCACCTCTCACTGCATATCTCACTGCTCCTGCATCTCTCACTGCATCTCTCACTGCATCTCTCACTGCTCCTGCACCTCTCACTGCTCCTCTCACTGCATCTCTCACTGCACCTCTCACTGCATCTCTCACTGCACCTCTCACTGCTCCTGCATCTCTCACTGTATCTCTCACTGCTCCTGCATCTCTCACTGCATCTCTCACTGCACCTCTCACTGCTCCTGCACCTCTCACTGCACCTCTCACTGCTCCTGCACCTCTCACTGCATCTCTCACTGCTCCTGCATCTCTCACTGCATCTCTCACTGCTCCTGCACCTCTCACTGCATCTCTCACTGCACCTCTCACTGCTCCTGCATCTCTCACTGCACCTCTCACTGCATCTCTCACTGCATCTCTCACTGCACCTCTCACTGCTCCTGCACCTCTCACTGCACCTCTCACTGCACCTCTCACTGCTCCTGCACCTCTCACTGCATCTCTCACTGCTCCTGCACCTCTCACTGCTCCTGCACCTCTCACTGCATCTCTCACTGCTCCTGCATCTCTCACTGCATCTCTCACTGCATCTCTCACTGCATCTCTCACTGCTCCTGCACCTCTCACTGCTCCTGCATCTCTCACTGCACCTCTCACTGCTCCTGCACCTCTCACTGCATCTCTCACTGCTCCTGCACCTCTCACTGCTCCTGCACCTCTCACTGCTCCTCTCACTGCTCCTGCATCTCTCACTGCACCTCTCACTGCATCTCTCACTGCTCCTGCATCTCTCACTGCATCTCTCACTGCTCATGCATCTCTCACTGCATCTCTCACTGCTCCTGCATCTCTCACTGCACCTCTCACTGCATCTCTCACTGCATCTCTCACTGCTCCTGCATCTCTCACTGCTCCTGCACCTCTCACTGCTCCTGCATCTCTCACTGCACCTGCATCTCTCACTGCACCTCTCACTGCTCCTCTCACTGCTCCTGCACCTCTCACTGCATCTCTCACTGCACCTCTCACTGCATCTCTCACTGCATCTCTCACTGCTCCTGCATCTCTCACTGCTCCTGCACCTCTCACTGCTCCTGCACCTCTCACTGCTCCTGCATCTCTCACTGCTCCTGCATCTCTCACTGCACCTGCATCTCTCACTGCACCTCTCACTGCTCCTGCACCTCTCACTGCATCTCTCACTGCATCTCTCACTGCTCCTGCATCTCTCACTGCATCTCTCACTGCTCCTGCACCTCTCACTGCATCTCTCACTGCTCCTGCATCTCTCACTGCTCCTGCATCTCTCACTGCTCCTGCATCTCTCACTACTCCTGCACCTCTCACTGCTCCTGCACCTCTCACTGCTCCTGCATCTCTCACTGCACCTCTCACTGCATCTCTCACTGCTCCTGCATCTCTCACTGCACCTCTCACTGCTCCTGCACCTCTCACTGCTCCTGCATCTCTCACTGCTCCTGCATCTCTCACTGCATTTCTCACTGCTCCTGCACCTCTCACTGCTCCTGCATCTCTCACTGGGCCTGCTCTTCTCCCTGGCTCTTACTCTTCCTCATCCAGACATTACAGTGTTTTTCTGTTTCCAAAAACATCACTCCTCAAAGTCATCCTTTTACTGTATAAGTGTCAATGTAATAGAACAAAATAACCCCTGCCACTGAGTCTAAGCCAGACTGGAAACAGCTGTGGTTGGCCAAATTTACCCAACATACATAAGCTGTGGGTCAATTATTCAATTGTTTGTTTATTATCAGCTGAGACATATTGTTTTAGAACTGATATCATTGCAGAAGCAGAGGTTTTTATACTGTATCTAATGTTTGGAATATTGTTTTTGATATTGTGGGGATGGTGTGTGTTAACATTTGTAAATACTACAAAAACAATCCATAATTTTGTTGGGAGGTATAGCTTGTCTGTTAAGAAAATGTAAGCATTGTGGAAATGTGTTCACTGACTGCATATTGTGTGAAAACGACATGAAATGTGTGAATGGTATGGCCACAAAAGACCTATGCTGTGCTAATTGTGTTTAGAGGTTTGAAAATGTGACAACTGGTTGGACAAACGCTTGTTAGCGACTGAAAAATACTGTAATCTGCCTAATTTGCAAAACATATTGGCTGATGCCGATTAATTAAAATATCCTAAAAGTCCACACAGAAAGGCCACGCAAAGACAAAACTATCCTTTATTCCTCATAAAAATGCTGCGAAATAGATGTTTTAAAGCAATGGATATTATAAAAGTGCTAGCAAGGATTAAATGGGGTGCAGATTGTTAAGTACTCTGAGACTTTAAAGGACAATTATTCATTCAAAAATGGATTTATGGGAGTATAGTTTATGGATCTGCCAGGAAGTCATACATCAAAATACTGGACACAGTACATCATACAGGATTGAGACTTGCCTTATGAGAACTTAGGACCTCTCCAAATCAGAGCAGAAGCAAGAGAACCATTGCTATATAACAGACTGCGGAATTTGGCCCTCGACTATGCAGTTAAGCTAAAAGCTAATGAAAGTAACCGCATATTCTTCATTCTTTTATCCTCAACAGTCATATCTGTATGATGCCAGACCCAGGTACATCAGCCCTTTTAAAATTTGCATAAAATCTCCGGCAGAATTAATAGTGCAATAATACATCAGCAACGAAAAACATAAACGTGATCATGACTCAATTGACATTTCAGCTCAAAGGCTCGGGTGTTGATTGAGATCTGCCGCTGATCTGCTCTCTCCTTGTCAATGGGGCCTTTTAAACTCCCGGAACGTCAGCGGATTGGCCATGACGTCGGGACAGCCGTATAGTCCAATGATCGCAAACTAAGAATAATTTGTAGAAACAAAAGCACAAAAGAGGAAAAGAGAAAAACAATACAAAATACAAAAACACACGTGAAACGTAACAATTTGGGAGCACTCACCGCTTAAAACACCGGAGTGTCGCCATTATTCTATTATTACACAGAAAACTGATCCTAGACCAGCCGTTATGGACAGCTTTTTCCTCTTAATGCAATCAGAAGCATATGGACAGCTTGTTTCCGCCACGGATTAAAAAAAAAAAATGTAATAGATAATTGCGACTCTTAAGGGCCGTTCACACAAAGAACTATAACAACAACTATATTTGCATCTATCCATAACAGTCTGTTTATTCTAAGCTCATGCGCTGCTGTTTCAAAGTCTGTACAACATCATTGAACATGTGTTTGCTGTTCTTATTGCATTTACACTGCTTTAAACATAGCATGATGAGGACATAGTATGATTTAGAGTGAAGCTAGTGTAATCGATCTAATAGTGAATTTAGCTGATGTGGTCAATATAGTGGAATAAAAACCACTGCAACTTCAAAGGAAGCAAGACTATGTTGTGGAAACAAGCGCTGGATACTTCAGGTAATACTTCTCACCGTTTATTCAGAGGGTATGAACGATTGTTTTACATATCCATTTAATTTTCTTGAAAGGGGGCTTGACTTGTCAAATTGTGAAAACAGAGCTGGATTTTTCTGTACCTCGTCGAATAACTTCACCACAATGTCGTCTGCCATTTTAAATCCGCGAGCCCTTTAAATTCAAGTGGATTATGATTGGCTGTAAATCGTTCTAAAAGTGATCTCAATGATATCGTTCCTAATATCTTTATCATTATGGTTGTGGTGTGAACTTTGCTATTCTTAAATATGGAGAACGATTTTTAGAATTATATCTTTATCGTTATCGTTCTTGGTGTGAACGAGCCTTTAATCTAACACAATTCAGACATTTTCTCACAATTGCGAATATACAGTATATTATGAATTTACACCGCATTCCAAATTATTATGCAAATGATATTTTACACTGATTTTCCTAAATAGTTGATGCAAATGACAGTCAGTATAATTTTCATGTGACCAACTTTTAGGGTATAAGTCGAATTTCATTGAACAAACCACCCAACGAAAACAGTATTTTTTTCAAAAATAAAAAACTGAAAATGCACTGTTCCATAATATTATGCACAGCAGAGTTTGAAAACATTTTATAGGTTGTAAAGAACTGAAAATGGTCATTTGTTGAATTGGCAGCATAAGGAGATCATATTTACTGAAATCAAAAGCTACTTAAATCAAACACATCTTAACAGGGCAAGTTACATGTTAACATAGGATCCCTTCTTTGATATCACCTTCACAATTCTTGCATCCATTGAACTTGTGAGTTTGTGGACAGTTTCTGCTTGAATTTCTTTGCAGGATGTCAGAATAGCCTCCCAGAGCTGCTGTTTTGATGCAAACTGTCTCCCACCCTCATAGATCTTTTGCTTGAGGATGCTCCAAAGGTTCTCAATAGGGTTGAGGTCAGGGGAGGATGGGGGCCACACCATGAGTTTCTCTCCTTTTATGCCCATAGCAGCCAATGACACAGAGGTATTCTTTGCAGCATGAGATGGTGCATTGTCATGCATGAAGATGATTTTGCTACGGAAGGCACGGTTCTTCTTTTTGTACCATGGAAGAAAGTGGTCAGTCAGAAACTCAATGTACTTTGCCGAGGTCATTTTCACACCTTCAGGGACCCTAAAGGGGCCTACCAGCTCTCTCCCCATGATTCCGGCCCAAAACATGACTCCACCACCTCCTTGCTGGCGTCGCAGCCTTATTGGGACTTGGTGGCCATCTACCAACCATCCACTACTCCATCCATCTGGGCCATCCAGGGTTGCACCGCACTCATCAGTAAACAAGACTGTTTGAAAATTAGTCTTCATGTATTTCTGGGACCACTGCAACCGTTTCTGCTTGTGAGCATTGGTTAGGGGTGACCGAATAGTAGGTTTATGCACAACTGCAAACCTCTGGAGGATCCTACACCTTGAGGTTCGCGGGACTCCAGAGGTCCCAGCAGCTTCAAATACCTGTTTGCTGCTTTGTAATGGCATTTTAGCAGCTTCTCTCTTAATCCGATGAATTTGTCTGGCAGTAACCTTCCTCATTATGCCTTTGTCTGCACGAACCCGTCTTTGCTCTGAATCAGCCACAAATCTCTTCACAGTACGATGATCACGCTTAAGTTTTCGTGAAATATCTAATGTTTTCATACCTTGTCCAAGGCATTGCACTATTTGACGCTTTTCCGCAGCAGAGAGATCATTTTTCTTGCCCAAATTGCTTGAAAACTGTTGCCTGCTTAATAATGTGGAACATCCTTCTTTAGTAGTTTTCCTTTAATTGGGCTCACCTGGCAAACTAATTGTCACAGGTGTCTGAGATTGATTTCAGTGATCCAAAGAGCCCGGAGACACAATACCATCCATGAGTTTGATTTAAAAACAAAATATTTAATGTTTATGACAATTAATTCCAATTTGCATAATAATTTGGAACACGGTGTATATCATGGAATTCTGACAGAATTTTGAGAAAATTCGCAATTACCTTTTCTATTTTTAATTCAATGGCGTAAACAAGCTTCCATAGCACCAGCAGGAAATTGAATGAGAAAATCTGTTTGAATCGTTACATCCCTAGGATCTAGTTAACAGAACACTACTCATCTCACGATACGATTCACGATACTGGTTTCACGATACGATTTTCTCACGATTTTTTTGAAGTTGACCTTGGCTCACACAAGATCAAGTTCCATGAATGAAGTGAAAACACTTTCTAGCTTCACGCCAATGTGTGCTCGCTGCTATTGTGCCTGTAAAGCGAGGTTCACAACTTCACGGTAGGCTATACAGTAAACGCGCCCTGCTGTTTAAAACGTGTATCGCGATTCGTTTAACATTTCAACCGACTTGAATCGTCACACATTTTTATCAATTTTCAACTGGTTGCGAGTGAATCGTTACATCCCTACTAGATCCATTACGTTTGGGGATCTAGCATACATTTAGTTCGTTTTGATGCTTGAAATGTCTAAATGTGTTGATGTATTTGGCTTTGTGCCATTAAACATGACTTAACTTGTATTTATCTTTTTCTGCTGTAGATCTGATGGCACTGAAAGAGGAGAGTGAAGTACTGAATGAAATTAAAGATCATGATTTGATAACTGGAGAAAAATCTTTTAGTGGCTCACAGACTGAAAATACTTCCTCTCAAAAAAACGTTAGAAGGAAAGGATCTTTTTTCACCTGCTTTCAGTGTGGAAAGAGTTTCAGTCACCATGAAAACCTTAAAGTCCACATGAGAGTTCACAATGGAGAAAAGCCCTACACCTGCCAACAGTGTGGGAAAAGTTTCTCTGAAAATGGAAGCCTTAAAGTTCACATGAGACTTCACACTGGAGAGAAGCCTTACACCTGTGATCAGTGTGGAAAGAGTTTCAGACAAAATGGTGCCCTTAAATACCACATAAAAACTCATACCGGAGAGAAGCCTTACACCTGCAAACTGTGTGGAAATAGTTTCATAGCAGAACCAAGCTTTAGGTGTCACATGAACATTCACACTGGAGAGAAGCCTTTCACATGTGATCAGTGTGGAAAGAGTTTTACCCGTAAAGTAACCCTTAATTCCCACATGAGAATTCACTCAAGAGAGAACTATTTTACATGCCCTCAGTGTGGAATGATTTTTACATGTAAAAAATCATTTGATTCCCATATGAGAGTTCACACTGGAGAGAAGCCTTACACCTGCAAACTCTGTGAGAAGAGCTTCTCACAAAAAGGATATCTTAGGTGTCACATGAGAATTCACACTGGAGAGAAGCCTTACACGTGTGATCAGTGTGGAAAGAGTTTCAGACAAAAAGTAACCCTTAATAAACATGTGAGGATTCACTTAAGAGAGAACCATTTTATGTCATCAGTGTGAGCAGAATTTCACAGACAAGAAACGGCTTAAGAGGCACATAATAACTCACATTGGACAGAAGCCTTTTATGTGTCATCACTGTGGAAAGAGTTGCTCACAAAAAAATCATCTTGAGGTTCACATAAGAGTTCACACTGGTGAGAAGCCTTTCACCTGCCCTCAGTTTGGAAAGAGTTTCAGGAATTGTGCAAGCTTCAAAACTCACATGAGACTTCACACTGGAGAGAAGCCTTTTACATGTCTTCAGTGTGGAAAGAGTTTTATATATCAAAGAGACTTGAAACAACATTTTGCAAAGTCATTCTGGGAAAAAAGTGCGTGACGAGGTTTAGAAAAAGGAGCAATTTAAAACATCACCTGCTCATTCACTCTGGTGGAAGGCGATTTAATTGTAACCTGAGAGAATTAGGTGGTAAAATCGTAACTGTTAGGAAAATAGTCAATGTAAAGAAGAAATTTATGCTTTTATTTTTCACTAAATACAAAATACATTTTTCTGACATTTCATGAGTCTATTGTGCTGAATGCTCTTTGTTGTATGCAGAGGTTGCAGACTTAAGCTGTGTCCCAATGTGAAGGCTGCATTCTTCGAAGGCCGTGGACTTCAAAGGATGCAGCCTATTCGTCCTTGGAAGGACGCACCATGTAGCCTTCGTGGGATTTCTTAATTGCGCAACCAGGTGTTCCCTATTACCGCTCCTGGCGCCAAGCAACGGTGCGAGAGTACAACTGCCATCCTGATCATTCATTTGATATACAGTAATTGAGTAAATAGCTATGGAGACAGAATTGGCTATTGCCATTTTTTTTGTTTTATATTTTACTGGAGGACATGGTGAGGATGTTTCAGCCCCGGCGCTGCCGAGTCATGTATCCTATTTTCGGCTTAACCAAGACCATGGCCAGAGCTGGTTTACTGCGTACCTATTCAGAGGCTGCGTCCTAAATTGCCATATTACACTTTAAACTGTTCAAGTATTGGGTGTTTACTTGCGTAAATAATGTAATGAAATATGAAAAGAAAACATACATAGGAATGGAGCTAATAATATGACAAAATTATTTGAATTTGAATTGTGTAAATTTGAATTATTTGCAAGTGTAATCTAAAAAAATTGAATTTTAGGTGGTAGTTTAAATAGTTCTGAATTTGATTTTTTTAAACGAATATTGAACATTTGAAATTTAACAAATTGAAAGGTTTTTATGGCTGAATTTTATAGACATGTATTTTCAAACAGCTAGTTTTTTTTGTTCTGAATTCAAATACTGCAAATATTCAGTTTAAAAAAATACAGATTCAAGTTTTTAAGATGAAGAAATTCGGAACTTCAAATTCAGTTTTCTAAAATTCAATCTCAAAAATTCAAACTCAAAAATTCAGGTCTTACAGAAAGTAGGTCACAGGTCATCCACAGGGAAGAGTAGATGATCTCAGAAAAGTCGAACAGAGCATTTTGGTCCATTAGGGACTGCAGAAGGTTTCTTAAACATGAATGATTTTGTGTTTGTTAGGTAGCGTTCTCATCACGTGAGACATTTGTCTAAGCAGTCTCTGGTGTTTGTTTTAAAGTATATTTTGTGTAAAATTGATTAGAACGCCACCGTGACACCTACACACACAGGACGCGAGCGGCGCGGTGCGACGCAACATAGTGCTTGAAGCGACTGTTGCAAAGAGCTGGGTCACAAATAGGATGGGGAATCTGTGTGCTGTTGGGGATTTCACGGGTCGCGTCGCTCTGCTCGCGTCCGGTCTAGACTGCGTCGTACATGTAAGCATAAGGTACGAGTGTGAATTAGCCATTAAATGTCTTACAATAAGCCTGCCTACCTACCTAATGCAATTGTCCTTCAATATTAAAGTCTTCTCTACTGATTGATGACTGACTCAGTAATAAAGACGGTCTTTGTCGCCATCTAACATTACAGGTGAAATATTTTAACTTAGCTACAATTAGTCTTTAGTCTGCCAAAAAAACAAAACAAAAAAAAAACACACATTAAAATCATGAACTCAAATGTCATTGTGAAAAAAAAAATGTGTTACTGTCAGTGTTGTGTGTAACGCGTTACAAAGTAACGCGTTACAGTAACGTAACTACTTTTTCGGGTAAAAAGTAGTGTAACGCGTTACTACTGAAAATTTGGTAACGAAACGTAGTTCCTTTTTCAATTCCGCACAACGTTACTTTTCCCATGGAAAGATTTGACAGCAACACTGTCTCCTCAGCTGCGCGCTTGCAATAGTCACAAGCTCCACATGGTACGTGACAGAGGCTGGTAGCAGAGCAATCAATTCTGTGAATTACACTGCGCAAAACCAAAAGTAATACTCCCACCGGATGAAGAAGGGTTGGCTCTCCACAGAACATAAAATATTAATTGTATTGAATTTTTCGTGTTCGCATTTATGAGGAAAGAAACAATGTTATGGACGTAACAGTTCTTCGGACTTGACCGCTCTGAAAGCGGCACTAAAAGACTGCTTTAAATCTTTCACAGAGACCTCAAACAGGCATTTAAAACACCAAATATTAAGGATTGGCATATCAAGCAAAATAATATTCGATGATTGCTCGAAAATCGTACCTCTACCCCCACATGCTTACAGTAAGACGGCGTTCGCTCAAATCCCGCTCCGATATTAAATTTCTCTGTATAGACCTGCGTGTTGTAGCCTAGTCATTAAAGAAAACGATTTAGTTTCATATTTATTAATAATAATTTATTTTTTTATTTCATCAATGTTGATTATATGAAAAGTGAAAAGCATGAGTAAGAGCATAAGATGCGCAATCGAGAGACAAATGGAGTGGGCAGACATGATTTTGACCACTTCATTAAGTTTGTTTTTGTAGAAAGCCTTTCTTTAAAGTGAATTTCGTTTTGTATTAATTGTATCTTAATTTTAATCAATGTTTTAATCAACCAATTGTCTTTAATAAATAAGCAGTAAATATAGCAGGCAATATAATCAGGACTTCTCAGGAGCTCCGTGCAGGCGCGTGGACTGAGCTCGTCTCATAAATGAACCGAAACTTAGCGCAAGCTACTTGCCTCAAAGATCTGAGAAATATATAGAAAGCTTGAAATGTGTACTTTAAAACAAAACTATTCAAAACGAGAGAAGACTCTCTGCTTATGTAATCCATATGAAATGTGCATTTCTCTCTGGCGCGTTCACTACTGTGAAGATCGCGAGTCAGCATCGTCAACTTTATCTTTGCAGCCGACACTGACTGACAAAGAAAACACTTGTTTATTAATAAACAATTGAAATGTCTCCTTGCTATATTTGATATTCGATATTCATAATCATTTCTTTTGCCGGTTCTTTGTGACATTTTTCATGAACGTGTCACCACCGCTCAATAGTTAATATTGTGCTTTGGTGTTCAGTTTATACAAGTTTTTCCAAATGTTATTTAAATAAATATATATATTTTTTTCTATCTCAAAATCTCTCTTTTTTTCTAGTTTTTCAATAAGTAGAGTTCATAGTAGAATTTTATGTAGGCCTACACATTTAGGAACAGATATTGGGTTCTGCCCAAAGTCAAGCAACATAAAAGTAACGTAAAAGTAACGAGTAACATAAAAATTTACTTTCCAAAGGGGGTAACTAAGTAAAGTAACGGATTACTTTTTTAAGAAGTAACGAGTAACGAGAAAACATTACCTTTTAAAAGTAACTTCCCCAACACTGGTTACTGTTGTAACAGTGTGTAGGCTAAATCAGACCTTTCAGGCTATAGCCTAACGCTAATAAGCCTTATGCCAAAATTATTATTACAACTAAATTGTCGGTCATTAAATAGGAAAACTAAATAATTTTGTAGACGATTTGCTTTGTGTAACACGACATCAGACATAAGGCCCGGACAAAGTTTTGGCTAGTGCTGTCTCGTGAATAAGTCACGTCTGACGGCCGTTTCACACCGCATGCGTGAGCAGCACGTATTTTTTTCGTCGTGCATGTTAATCAATGAGTGCATCCTCACCGGGAGCAGGAGAAGCGCATGAGCGTCGAGCAGGAGCTGCGCGTGAGCAGCGGTGAAGCGGGGGTTTCTGCGTCGAGTCTGTTTTTGCTGCACTTCTCCACGCTCAATTAAAGTGAATACACTTTTGATGGACAAAATTTCACACAAAAAGTGCCCAAAATGCACAGAATAAGCATGTCTAGTGAGTTTAAACAAGAACTTGAGTTGGCAAAAAAGAAAAGAAAATGAAGACTAAAAAATAGTTAGGCCTAGAAGATTAGGCTACCCGTTTAAACTTGTTTTTAATTATTCAGTTTGGGTGAATATATATTATATAAATCTATATTATATTTAAAATAAATATAATGGTGTATTATATTTATTTTAAATATATATATCCTATATATATATATATATATATATATATATATTTATATTAATGGTGTTTTGTATATAAAACTAGTGTAAACTAGACAGAAAATTATGTTGTGTCGCACCGCGCCGCTCGCGTCCTGTGTGTGTAGGTGTCACGGTGGCGTTCTAATCAATTTTACACAAAATATACTTTAAAACAAACACCAGAGACTGCTTAGACAAATGTCTCACGTGATGAGAACGCTACCTAACAAACACAAAATCATTCATGTTTAAGAAACCTTCTGCAGTCCCTAATGGACCAAAATGCTCTGTTCGACTTTTCTGAGATCATCTACTCTTCCCTGTGGATGACCTGTGACCTACTTTCTGTAAGACCTGAATTTTTGAGTTTGAATTTTTGAGATTGAATTTTAGAAAACTGAATTTGAAGTTCCGAATTTCTTCATCTTAAAAACTTGAATCTGTATTTTTTTAAACTGAATATTTGCAGTATTTGAATTCAGAACAAAAAAAACTAGCTGTTTGAAAATACATGTCTATAAAATTCAGCCATAAAAACCTTTCAATTTGTTAAATTTCAAATGTTCAATATTCGTTTAAAAAAAATCAAATTCAGAACTATTTAAACTACCACCTAAAATTCAATTTTTTTAGATTAC